AGTCCTACACTTCTGAGGGCCCTAAGCAAAAGTTTGTCAGGGGGCCCCTGTCAATGCATTCATAAGAACCCCAAAATGACCCCCAACCATGAAAACTGGCTTGCTTATTTGAGAACACTTAATATTTGGCAATGGTTGCCCAGACACTATTGAAAGAGAACTGGACTGAGCTGGATGATGGCATTACTGAATCAACAATGAACTGACTTTAACTGAAAAATCGACTGTTTACTATTGTCCTCTTTTTAGAGCTGCTTTAAAGCAGAATTTAATTTTGTTTGCATTGAAACATTATTGTCCTCTTTAACTCTGTAAAGCTGCTTTGACATAATCTGAATTGTATAAAGAGCTATATAAGGTGACTTGACTTAACCTGTTCTTTCAGAGAAGTTGAAACCGTAATCCTATTTCCTTAGCAATCTTCAAGAAACGGCTAAAAACACATCTCTTCCATCTTCATTTGACCCTCTAAGAAAGAATAAAAACACTTCACCCTCTAACACTTTCGCTCTCTATTCTTTTGACTTTTTTTATTTGTATTTAAAATAAAAAGACCCTCTAACACGTTCCCTGTTTTTTGTTCTCTATCCTATCTACTTGTTTTTCTTTCTTTTTTTTATAAAAAACAAAACTTTGCTACGTGTCCTGCGCTAGGCTAACCGAGACTTGTCACAGCACTTGACTATTATTGCCCTTTTGTTGATTTTGATTGCTTCTATTGTCCTCATTTGTAAGTTGCTTTGGATAAAAGCGTTTGCTAAATGACTAAATGTAAATGAAACAGTTATACAATTAAAAAGAAGACAATTACAAATAATTGAATAATCAAATGTAAAAAATAAAACACTATGCACTGCCATTAATTCATCTTCACCATATGAATTATATAAACAGTACAATGATTGCTATTAAAATTAATAGTTATTCAGAAGAGCAGAGAACAATTCTCGTTTTCTTTTGTTGTTTAAATGACAGAGACAGCAGGAGGTTTATTAGGCTGCTTTCACTGTAAGACCGAATGCACAGATCTAATATACTGACAAGCATTTGATTACTTTCCCAAATGTATGTTTACTAAAGACATAACCGACCACATTCAAGTGAAAACTCGCCAAGACGAACATGTTGGTATATTTTTGTGTGTATTTATCCATTTAAGCACACGCCTGAAGCCCAAAGTAGCCTATACTTGTCCGTGTGTCACTCTGCCTCAGATCCCACAGAGAAAGCCGCCTGGGGAACAGTGTCTCTTTCGAAGCTCAATCCACTTTTAACTCTTTTTTTTTTTTTTTTT